AAATCTGATCACCTGCAAATCTTTCTGAAGCGTGCATATTAATGACAAAGTGCCATTACAAGTGTTGATAGTTGAGCGAAATTCTCCTCCCAGTTTGACAACTAATGCAAGCTGAATTCTACTGCTAGAGTACATATTCAATGCAAACCTTATTTTCTTATGGGAAGGTTAAATCATAAGATTAAATTTCAACAATATTAGCCACCCATGAAAGGAATTTCAGTGAGGAAGTGGGAACTCTGGGTCATTTCAAGTCTCACTTACAAAGATAACTAAAGAAAGTAACTCCCCTGAGGTCAGGCTGAAGAGCTTAACTCTAGTGTCAGGCCCATGGAGCAGACCCCTGTAGAATCCCACTGAAATAAGTAAACACATTTTGGATTGTATAATAATAACTATAAACAAATGTGGTGGCTACTTTTTACTGTATTTCAATAAAATTCTTTGCTTTAATGTTTGTTTGTTGCTGTTTTTTTCCCTGAAACTGTTAATGCACTACGTTGAATCAAAATACAGTTGAGTGAGGTTGCAAACAACTGCAAAATATTACAAGAAATGAGCTATTCTGATTTTTAAAAATACTATTTGTACAAATGCTCAGAAACCTTACAGATGCAATCATGGTCCATGCATGTACCCAGCAGTAGTTTCCTTTGGAGGAAAGTAAGTATTAAACTTGACCAATTTGGTGTAGTTTTTCCATCCGGGGAGCTGCCGTGAAATTTTGCCACAATTTTCTGAAAGTGTTTACAAGCACAATAAGATTCAACTGAATAACCAAAGATACCCTGAAACATCCACTAAAACACAAACATCACAAAAAATATTAGTATTCTTTATAATTATTATGAAGTAGAAATGTTATAAGGCAGGATGAAGCTAATATCAAAGACGAAAACCAGCACCACCGGTCTATGTTTTTCAATTAGCTTTCTGATCGGACAGCAAATATATTATCATAGTCAGATACAATTGATTAAGAAATGCATTTAGCCCAGCTGTACTAACTATACAGCTTCACACAGAATAAACATTCCATAAATCAACAGAAAATGCATTTGAGCACAAAAAATAAAAATATGTAAGTGATTCTCTAAGCAGCATTTTGTTTTCTTTTTTCCTTTTTTTTTTCCAAAACATTAACATAGATAGATATTGGACTGATTAAATATCTACAAGTGCTTTTCCTTTACAAAAATACATATATTCTTAATAGTAGGATAGACTGTCATTAACAATGACCTGTGTTTTTTTCACTTCAATTTGAATGATTTATATGCTAAATTTTACAACCACAAAAAGGTTTAGTTGTAATATGATGTTACCACTTTTGACAAAAAGCTTAAAACATTTTATATTTTAAAAGAAATTAGCAACATAACATCACAATATGTTCTATGAGCTCCTAAGTACTGTGAGGGCTGCTTTATTTAAAACTGGTAACTACTGATCAAATGCAAGGAAGCATTAGAACATTATTACTGCTCACCGTAGGCTCCTTTCTTAATTGTAACTTGGATCACAGCTTATATAAGGACACTTAGGCCCCCATCCCTAAAAAAATCCATTGAGAGTAACTCTTTATCATCTCTTCAGTAGCCTGGAACATCCAACAATTCAGGCTTTGCATTAATTTTAAAAAATGCAAAATATTTTCCTTTCAATAGTTAAGTCTGCAGTAAGGGAAAAAATGATGCATTGCTTCATGTTTATTCTAAGAAGCTTGTATTTGAGAAAAAAAAAATACGATCAGTAAGTTTTTAGAATGAAATACTGTAGTCAGCTAAACAATTAAACCGTCCTATTACTTTCCAGTTTAGTTAATCACTATCCTGGAAAAGGAAATAAAGACATTTGTATTTCTTTATTCTATTACACACTGCACAAGTAAAATAACCAACTTCTTGCTAATCAATAGTCTGATGTCAAGGACAGCGATGCCATTTGCTAAAAAAATATCTATAAAAATCTGTATAACATACTTAACAACTTCTCATTATCCTCCCAGTCTGTCCTTTCCACCCTCCAAAATATCACTGAACTACAACTAGAAAACCCCAAAGTAGCTTGGTGAATATTTTGTGCTTTGGAAGGTTTACAGGATTGACAGCGCACTGAAGTTTTTTGTTAGTTCACGGGCCAGGTATAGCAGACACATCAGTAATGCAAGCCTTTGTGCTTCTCACTGGGAACATGAGCTATGACTCAAAGAGCTACTCTGTTAACTCAACCTTTAGGCTACTCCTGCTGGCTTTTTTCCTTTCCTATTTTGTCCTGGAAACTGCTACGCGTGCCTAACCTTTCAGCTTGGTGACACAGGCAGCTACCACCGGTTAAGCTCTGCTTGACTGGTTCCAGGTGCAACTCTAGACCACTGTATTCCAAGTCAGTTTCTGGGTGGCTTTACCTTTGGTATTAAATAGGTCCCTTAAAACTATTAGGCAATCAGATTATCCATAAAAATAGTTTATTAAAAAAAAACCCAAACTTTTTTTAACGAACAAAACTAAGTATCTGACAACAAACAGTAATTTTAAATCAATTAGTATGGGATTATTTTTCAGAAAAAAGGGAGAGTGTTTCATTTTACTGCATCAAGGTTAATGAGAGAACAGCAAAAAAGTCTACTATACTCAATGTTATACAAACCAGAACTTTAGGAGTAGAATACCATCATAAAATATGTGCCTTGCACTTTGATAATAAACATCTTTACTACAAATCAATTATTAATACAAACCTCAGTATTTTGACTAGCAGCACAAATGTTTTACTGTTGCAGTAATGTTGTATAGCAACTTACTCTCAACTTGTACTTTGCTTTCCACTCACTGTCATGAAGAAAAAGGAAAATGCACAGTAACTACTTTGTTCACCTCATCCTGTCAACTGTCACATTATTAACCTTGTTAGAAGCATTTGCTAAAAATACATATAGAAGTTACTTCAAAGAAAACTACATTTAATGGTTCAGATAAACATGTGAAGTCAAAATGATGCCTCTCTTTGGTTGAAATTAATGTGATGACAAAAACTTCCACTTGCAGACATCTTTCATTCTAGACTGTTTCCTTTATCCTGTGCCTACAGGACTGGGTCTTTTACTGCAATTACAAAAGATAGCCTAGACATTTCCACCTGTCCACACAGCTCCTCCATTTCACTACCACACTCCAAAACTGTACAGATCTAAATTGTGAGCTAGAGAATGAAACAATGTCCTTACTCGATTGTAGTAGCTACCTAAATTCAGAGGATTTATGGCACATACCTTGGATGGAAGAATCTGTCAGGAATTAATTAATTAATCATTTTCTTATTCTGAAATCTGATGTTTTAATTTGCTCTACAGCCAGAGTAGACAGTAACTTAAAAAATGCACAGATCTGCTTATATATTACCATAAATATATTTATGGTAATAAATATATTACAAGATCATTTTTTGGAGGACATCCTTCCAGAAGGATGTTTCAGCTGAGGTCTGAAGGCCTGACTATCCATATATGATAAAACTAGTGGTAAATGCACAGTTGGAAGCTTTTCACATTTCCTTTAGGGTGAATCAATCCCCTTGTGTCTTGGAACACATCCTGGAACATGCTCCAGTAGACTGCAAGCACTCCTCAAAGAAGTGTCTTTAGCTGAACACCTCATGGAAGCATTAACTTGTTCAAACTAGGTAGAAAAGATTCAAACTGCAGAACTGTGAAAACTTCGCTGAAATCCGCAAGAGCTGCTTGGTGAATGAAACCTATGAGCTGACTCCTCCTGTGCAATTTCTCCTTTATAACTCCTCAGTGTTTTTACTTGGTGGGCATTAAATAGCGTGGTGTATAGGAATGGGCAAAAGATGTGTCAGAACCTAGAATTAATTACAGGACAGACAGTGCCTGAATAGACATTTTAACTGAGATAACTAATAAATTAACATAGCATGAAGTACAATGAGGGCAAATATTCTGCATGATATATGCATTTTTGATGGAAGCAGACACCTTTAACCTGGCTAGGTTAAGTGAAGAAACTGGATCAAGCTCTTGATTTAAACATCTCTGTTTATATATTTATTGTGGATAAGGATATGTGTTTTAACTGCCTTTGGTCTTTTCCAGGATAAAAATGAGTTTGATCAGTCCATGTAATTGACCAGTATTTTATGTAGCCCCTCTATAAACAGTGCTCAATCTGTTTATTTTGAGACACAGGGCTTGCTTTGAACAACGATTTTTCTCTAGTATTTCTAGCAGGCACAGTAGCTGTCTGAGCTGGAAGCTATTCCTTTTGTTGCAAGTCTTCACAGGAATATTTGTGGGGAGTGAATGCTGCTTGGTGTTTTCAGTGATATAAAAATACAAAAAACCCCACAAAAGGGACAATGCAACTCAGCAATTGGTTCAATGCAAGGACTAAACCCTGGCCTATGTTGTTATTTTAGAAAACAGCAGAGAAGGAAAAATTGTTTACTTTTCTTACAAAGTCGTGTCTAACAATTATACATGGGAGAGATGAGATGGAACTCTGGACCACTGCCTTGTCTGCAGCAGGGAACAACAGCCTAGCTTATATCTAAAAGGAATGTGATCAATCTCTTTTCTCCTGCAGATATACTGGAACTGTTTTTGACAACTGCAGAAGAGAAAAGTCAAGTCAAACTGTTGAAACCTACGTAGAAAAAGAGATTCAAAATTCAAGGGTTCTGCATTCAGGAAATAATTTACATAAAAAAGTAATTCTTGTCATAATAGTTTCTACTGAGAGAGGGTTTTTTGTTCAATTTTAAATTTTGTTACAGAACACATTCCTTTTTCTGCTTGTTTCCCATGAAAGAAAGCTTCTCAATACAGCATGTTTATGAAATATTCTTGCTGAAACTATTCAGATCATAGATAAAATACAGAAGCAAATACTACCCTGCCAAATGCAAATAATGGGCTTAAAATGTATTAGTAACCAGGCACTTTGCTTTACATAACATTTTCAGTAAAGTCAAAGTAATACTTTTTGTCTTTTTTTTTTTGCATAATAACTGCAAGCTAGCTGAGTATGCACAATATAGCGCTGCATACTCCTAGGACCCAAATCGTAGAAGCTTTCATGTGAACAGTACCTACTATAGTGATGAGTCACTTAAGATTATTGTAGTAATCTTATTTGGTATTTCATCCAAATAAAAATATGTTTCTAGGACTAGGCCCTCAGCTATGAGCAGTGTAGTAATGCGTGGTGGAAGATACATTTCTTGATTAACCATCTCATTCCATACCATTTAAGATATTACAGGATCTCATCTGTAAATTCTAATTTACGTTTCATTCCTAGACAAATGCAGCACACAGCTAAGCTCAACAAAAAGTTACTTATGACTTTCATTAATGAGTTACTCCAGAGTTAAAATCAGATAGAAGGTTTTCACTTTTACGGTAAAAAAAAAAAACCCAAACACCAAATCTACTAAATAAGAGATGGCAAGGTTAGGTAGTAGTGTGTAATTTTTTAGGTCTTCTTCCTCTACAGCTAGGTACTGCCAATATGGGAAAGCCATAGAAACATAGTGGCAGCAACACTTATTTTATATTCTTATTCTTTACAAGCATGCCGTTATGACACTTTGTCATGGAAATGCTCAGAAAGTGTGACTGTATACAGTCATCTGCTCTAAGATGGCATATGGTGCAGTTTTAATGGAATGCTTAGGTACTCATCTCACTTTACCCCATCTTTGGCACACAGAAATCTATAGACACATTAGCATATTCCTATCCTGTTCAGATACTTCTAATTGGCACAGATGAATTAAATATGCATATCTGTAGACACATGGCACATATGTAGTATATGGGAGAGAAACATCCTGTAAAGAAGGCAAAGCCTGTGTCACACAAGCTGCCCAGTTAAGATACATACTTCGCTGGCACTTTACTGCTACAAAACCTATTAAATTGTAACAGCATTCAGGCACTGTGCCATCAAATCAGAAATGCATGAAGTGTAGGTGGCTAGATCATATGCATTTAATGCCATGATTCTCAGCTGGGAACATTAAATTGTATCTGTCTGTATATTCCATGCTTAAAATGAAGATTTGCCTTCTGCAATCTAGCTTTAAGTTGCATCAAGATAATATTATGAACTAAACCAGCATCTATGTCCAATCAAAAGAATTCATGGTTCTCTTAATTGTGAATACAGAAAGCCATTAAACAGTCAAATCTTCTACTAGTTGCCATTGAGAAAACAATATAAAGTAGTCCTGTTTCAGGGGTCTGTTGGGTGGATGAAAACTTCTGTGTAAGGTAACTTAAAATGGATTAAAAATTGATGGTTTTCTCCTTTTAAAACAAGTCTGCTCAAACTTGTCAAAACAGTAAGCACAACTGTTGAGAAAAAAAATTGTCCCCTGAACCAAGCAGAAATCATACTTAAGTGTACTACCATTAGTTTTGTGATAAACTGAAATAAGCGTTTTATGTCAAGTGACTCTACAGTGAAGATTCTGGTATAAAAACACGTGAAATATATAAAAACTGTAAGGTGTCATTTGTATGTGCATGTAAGTATTTACAAATAATATCTTATTTCTACTGTACAAAACAACTGTGTATACTAAAGAGAAGAATGATTTGCAATTAGAATGCATGCTCTGCTCTTCCAAGCTGCTCCGTGAGGAGGACCTCTGTACATACAAAGAATCTCTGCTTCCCTACAGATTCTGCAGAGGAGAAGGGCCCTCCCTACACGGAGTATCTTCTTGTTTCTGTCAAGTAGCACATCATAGACTGGGTGGGCAAAAAGATGACCATTTCCTGCAGCCAGCACATGCACCTATCTACAGTGTGGGCAAAGCAGTGCCTGTAACAGTCAGCACACTATGCCTGCAGTAAGGAGCAGCAGCTGCTTTGACATTTTGCTAGCCCAGGTTTCACTGGCATCTGCACAATATGTGCAACCTTGACCTGCAATGGCAGGTTTCCTAAACAGACTGCTACTGACTGCATCTTTATTTCTGCATGTCACATGGGCTTTGGAGTGCAACGGTAGAATTCAACCCAACTACATATGGATTCCTCAAGTCATCAATGCTAGAACTCCTACTAACATTAGAGGGGGCAGATTTATCCAGAGCATGCTTAGTTCTCCTACAGAAACTTACTAAGGTACATGAACAAAAATTCACAAAGGAGTTACAGCCTTGCATCTATTTTTTTTATACTTGATCGCAAAATAGAATTTTCACTTTGTCTTACCTAAGAAGAATTAGTTCACTCTATTCTAGCTTCTGAAAAACTGATTTGGTTCCTTTTTGCTGTATGCAAAAGGCCTCACAAAGTAAATTGTCATCTACGATACCAGCAGGTGTGCATTAAATAGAAATTACATAAAAGTACTGAACTATAAGTATCTCCATAGAATTTAAAGTGAAAAACTCAACTGAATTTTAAGCAAAGACAACAGAAGACTACAGAAGACATATGCATTACCATGCTCCCTGCAACATTACCAGAAACCCCAATAAACGTTCTACACTAGAACCATCATGCTTGCAATACCTAAGGCAACAATCACTTTATCCAGCACTAACAGGTCTTAGAAAAATAATGACCTGAACAATTATTTTGGTCAGACTGCTTATCTTCAGTATTGCATTACCTCTAATTTCATGGAAATATTTTATGATGTGACTTTAACTAATGAAAAATTCTGTAATGAATTCTAATCTCCAGGTAGTCACAAGAGATATATAATGTAATTAAAGCTATATGTTATTTTTGTCTTATATACCTCCAACTAATCTTAAAAGGAAATGCTTACTATGAAAGGCAATAATTATGTCAAATTTTGCCTTTGTTGTGGTCTTCTAGTGAAATTTATTTGTTTCATAGACATCTACATTATTTTTAACTTCATTTTTTAGGGAGGGTTTATTAGAAGAAATGTAATCTGACCAGAAGATATTTTCCAAAATTAGCTAGTATCCCAAATTCCAGTCTTTAGGGAAACCATAGAAAAGTGCAATCACAAAGGCTGCGATGCTTTTAAGCAATATTAGCAGAATCTATTTAGAAGATGTTAAATTACCATTTTGAATCACCATGTTCTACATCTCTTGTTAAGGTAATTAATCTTCATTCACTGCAAAAGGACTGTTGCACACTCATGAGTGAGCTATACCTGGACCCATGAGAAACTTACCAAGAAAAAAGTAGTGGCCCAATAACCACTTTTCTAAATATATTTTCTATACAAAATATTTTCAAGGTATAATCCTTAGTTATTTGTACAGTACTCTATGGTTTAAACAACAATATCCAGTAAAATAGTAAGTGTGTGAAACTGCAACACCACATGGAATGAGCACTCTGCCATTTTGCTAGTGTAATCAATATTAGGACCGGAAAAATTTTCTAACACGCAAGCAAAAAATGTTCCATAGTTTTTGAATCTCGACTGTACACGTCATGATTTTGGCTATGATTTGCAGCACACTCGTAAGAAATATCTTATGCACATTTCAGTAGCAGAATGGCACTTGGCTTGCTCTAATAAAAACAACAGAGATGCAACTGACAATTTTAAGAAAGACAATGTCCTTATTTGCATGCTGAAAATCTGGTTGTGTCCCCCCCTAATCCAGGCACATCCATTCATTGTGCAATCTGTCGATGGGTAAACAAATAGTGCAGGATTCATCTCAGTGGGATCTGGCCCTTTGGTCTAACCGAAGTCAATTCTAGGTCGATACTGAAGTACCATAGGGTAAGACTGAAAACAAAAGCAAGAGAAAAACAACAACACACACAGACAAGAAAAAATGAAGACATAATTCATAAAAAAATAATAGCAAAATGCAGTTAAAGATTGCCTTAATAGCCAGAGATTACCAGTGTGTACGACGATCAGTTTTATTTATATAAATCAACTCTATATATTACAACAGTTAAATTCCTACCCATAGTTCATAATCCATATTCAATCTCTAAGTCAGTTAGTTGTAGTTATTTGTGACTAATATAAAACTCCTGTATATGCTTTTATATATTTCGTGATTATGTTTTGATTTTGAGACATGTACTCAGAGGGCTCAAACAACTGCTCTTCTTTCTGTGTTGCTGCGTTTGAGAAAAAGCATCTTGAAATTTTATACTTTCTAAACCAAAGTCTATTAACAGATGATGTACTTGGTTTAATTTTAATAGATGCACAGATTCATCGCTATACTAGTAGTCAGCACTAGTTAACGGGAGCCAGTATTAAAAAGAAAGATAAGAAAGGTCAAATAGCCGTCAGCTGATTTTCTGAGAGCTGAGGCTAACTTCTCCCACAAATCCAAATCCTCAACTTCAGATCTATTGGTACATTTTTATTAGCTCTTACCAGAAAAAAAAAAAGGAAAAGGGGAAGGGGGGGGGGAAAGGGCAAATAAACTGCTTGGATCCCTGAATTGGACAAAACTGTCATGGAAGGGGAGGCAAGAATACGTGGGCTTCCAGAAAATGCTCTGAGTGCTTGTTGCTGCAAAGTCCTCTTTTACTAAATGTCTTACTTTTTTCAGTCTGTTAGCATTTTACATAAATCTGCTGTTTTCCTATTAACTTCATTAGGACACTGGATGTTTTCTATAGCATAAACCCCAGGAAAATCTTACTGTCTCAGCCACGAGGCAGAGGAACATAGCTGATTTGAGTCTTTGTTATTGCAAACTTGGAAATATAAAAAATTGTTACAGAAGCTATCACTAAACCCAGAAATATTTTACTGCATCATACAAATGCAATACAGATGAACTTCAGTGACAAAAGAAAGATACATTGCAGAGACCTATACAGGTTTATAAAATTTCCATGCCGTGATAGTGAAATGATCACCAGAACTAAATGTGATCATGCTTGCTGGGGATTTACAAACTGGAGTGTAGAGAAATCACAACATAAACCCAAAGGTATTCATAATAGCAGGAGCATTTAGGACAGAAGACAGGGAGCACGACGTGCAGTCTGCATTTGCAATTAACAAACATATGATACTACAAATGTAGTATCATAAACTACGTGATCTCTGTTTTCCTGGCACTGAATGTGAAAACCACATCACTTAAATGCTATTTCACATTTTTCATTCTGATTATATGAAGTCTAAAAAGTACTAAATATATATAAAGTCTCTAAAAGTACTCACATTAATTGGAAGTGCACACAGGCACAGTCACCTCAGTGAAATTGCCATGTAAACCAGTGAGGCTCAGTGTTTTTGCACACAAAATTACAAAACAACTATACAAGTAAAATGCTCCATGCTGGACAATTCTATTTATTGAAGTAGGCATGACTGCAGCAGGTCATTCCCATGATGAAGTGACCCTCCATCATTAACGTCAGCTTTTGGCTCAAGCAAAAATACTATTTCGAACTTCCAAAGTAACTTTTAGAAATTAGTTCAAATCAAAATTCTCAATGAGGAAACTGAAATACTGTTTCATATGGGTATGAACCAGACTGATTAATGAAATTTAGAAATCAACATCAGTTTGCAAGTTCTGAAGGTTTTGGTTTGTTACGTTCTAGAGATAAGGTGTTATTCATTTCTAATTTTAAAAGATGTGAAAGGAATACAGTATTAGAAAAATATAACATTTCTTCACTCTATTAAAAAGAACATATGAATTGCCATAAAGAGATGAAACCAGCGTAGTCTCTTTTGACCCACACTCTTTAGTTTTGATCCCTTGTCAGTGCTGCCCAATGCTACTAGTAAGAAGGATGAAATAGAAGAGGCAGATAAACCTTCCAGGCTGATGGGGATATCAGCCTACAGAATGACATCTCTCTAATAAACAGACAAATGGCATTATGTAAAGTAAAAGAAATCCCTAAACCTTCTGAATGGGTTCTATTTATTCATTCAATAAAGCTTTCTCTGAAGGAACAAAATGCTCAGGCCTTGTTCACAGAGTTTTAGCACTTTCTAGTAAGGAATTATAAAAACTCCACAACTTGGATTACAACTGAAGCGCTGAAAGGACCTTAATGACTGTAGTATGTACAGTCGTGAGTGCCTCTTACCTGATAAAAAGTGCCATCCTGTGAGCAGACTTGCGAAGATGAGCAGTTCTGACACCGAAACTGCGAAGGAGATGATTTTCTGATCAGATAAGAGGCGTCCACAGCTGGACATACACATTCACCATTTAATGCTTTTTCTTTTTTTTAAGTTTTCAAATGTAAAGCTTGAAATTAATTTACTTATTTAAAAAGGAAAGACCTCTCTAACGTATAAGTGGGTGTTTTCCCTTTGCTACGCCACCTCATGTAAGGTCCACAGGTACATCCCATGATGCAAGCTCATGGCGAATAGTACCAAAGATGGAGATAATGGAATTGATCTTCATCCAAAAGAAAAGATTGTTAATTAATTAAAACTTCTGTTTTGTAACAAGACCCAACACAGTTAAGGAAAACAAAATCATAGAAGCCCAGATGTTAATGGATTTATTACCAGTACAATGTCATTTGTACAGGTTTTATTCTGTCATCTCTTGATTTCAGGGGAGTGAGTTAATGTTGAAAAGAAAAGGTGTACACATACCTGGCTATGCTATGTGTATGTAAACACAACTTACAAATTTTATCAAGAGTTGTCAACTTTTATATTCAACTCCTGTTAGAAACGATAGTTCTGCGAATTTTTAAATATTTAAATAGCACAAATAACATCCTTTTTGTCAAGATGATAGTTACAGTTGCTTCCAAACCCATGCAACTTTCTAAAGTCCATCTGTAGGCAGAGGTGGCAGTATTACATGTCATGAAAGAATTCCATGATCACTAAAGTTGTTGCCTCAACACTTCCCAATAGTATAGCCAATGCTAGCTAAAATACAAGAGGGCAAGCCAAACAAACATCCACTGGTTTCAATGCAGCATTGGAAAAAAATACTACTTCAAGCTCCATTATTGGTACAGTATTGGGGTTTCAGCAATTTCAGTGCAGTATTCCTTTCAGATTTAATGAATACTTGCCTATATGTATTAACTCCCCTAATTCCTATCAAAAATCCATCTGTCCTCCTCCAGATTAAAGCAAAACTTTAAGAAACTTGGGAACTGTTAACTCTACAATGCGCTCAGTCCTCTGTCTTTTGTGTCTGTGCCCCAATGTTTTTTATTCTGAGTACTAGGAAGCTTAAAAAAAAAAACAAACAGGAAAACCCATTCAGCTATGTTATCTGGACATTAGTGTTATGTTATCTGTATGTGAGTATTAACAGAAATAGTAACAAAAAATTAGATTTCACCAGTAACATTTCAGTGTCACTTTACTGACTTAATAAAAGAGATTCTTAATAAAGAACTGCTGGATACAGATTCCCCAACTACTGGGGTTTAGTATTCCCTGACCTCAAAAGGTCACTAAAACCAAATTCAAATGCAGAAAAAGAACAAGTGCTTGGGTTTTCAGATACCTGACATAAAACTCTGAGCATAACTTCCACGTAAACTTGATCCCTTGTATAGTATACCTGCTATTTTTAAGTTTCAGAATCCACACAATATATGTGCTTCAGGGTTTCACTTGCAGGGTTTAACACAAGAAATCCAGAAAACATGCAAAATGCATTTTTAAATAAGGATTTTTTGAAGGATCACAGAATATATTTTGGACCAAGCTGTGAAAGCACGTATACTTTCTATAATAAATATACCAAAACATCATTTAATAATGTAACACCATTTACGTTTTCGCCTCTTAGTCTCCATCTTGTCATATAGATGAATTCCATAGTATGATCCTTCCCCATGATCTCTCCATTGCATAGTACATCCAGCTTAAAATACAACAGAACAAGCAGTAAGACACAGGGACACAAAATTTTAATGCCTAAATGAACTCCTAAGTGAGTATCATTATACAGTAATTCCACTGAAAATCCGTATAACTCTGAAGAAATACAACATACTGACAATATGCTATTTTGTACACTAGCATTCCATTTTATTTGCACTTCTAAGTTTTCAATTAAAGTGTCAATAGAAGAAAGTCTGCTAAACTACACAGGAAATCAGTAGTAGATAAACACTCCCTGTATTTAGCAATACTACACAGTATCTGTTTGTAGAGAAAGCCTTGTGCTGTCTTTTGAAGGCCTTCTTGATATGTCAACACCTTCATAACTAAAGATCTACAGAATTACTGTAGTTTTCACTAAAAAAAAGGCAATATAAAAAAGTTATTTAAAAAGAACTATAAATGGCAAAGAAAATACACTTCTGAGTATACAAATGTTACTCTTCATTAACTGAAGGCAAAATTAAAATAAGAGTAAGGATCTTATTGTGGAAAATAAGCTTGACCTGTATTATAACATCTTACTTTTACCCTTCACTGAAAACATTTGACAATTCTTTCATTACTGTTGCCATAATGCTTTTCTGGTTTTTAGAGGAAAAAAAAAAGTTCAAAATGCTGAAGTAAGCATATACTATGTAACACCATAGCCATTAAGGTGCCAAAGATGGATTAAATTAATATAATTAACAAAACCAAATAAAAGCAAAATGGCTGATCAGCATGTCATGAATCTGACGGACTCCTGCATGTAGCTCTCCAATAACCTGTGCACCTGACCCAACTCAGCCCTACCTCTGACCAAAGCTGGGAGGCTGCCATTTGTGCTAAAGGCAGCCGGCAGTTTCTACAGTCGTTGCCTCCTGTAAAAGAACTAGCTGAAGAAATTGCGCTGAGGGTGCTGAGGTCAAAATTCCTGCATCCCTGCAGAGGCAGGAGTCACACACTTCCCAGCTCCACCATGCATTACAACTTCAACCATGTTAACACGTCCCCACAGGGAACAGCCTTGGCCATAATTAAATCACTCATGCAGCAAAGCGCTTGATTCTCTCTCCATCAAATCCCAATTAATTCCAGAAAAGATGCAAAAAAGTATCTGCATTTAGAAAAATTCAAATGCTGTTATTCCTCATTTCTTCATAATTGTTGGATAGTTTCTTATATCTAAAGATAAATTGCAGAGTAGTTTTGTGTATGTCTTAATTGAGCTCTCCTTTACCTCAATAGCTACTAGCCCAAAACTGTATTAAGTGACTTTTTCATTACCCACGTGGAAAGGGAAAGCATTTCTTTTTTGCAGAAAAATATCAAAACCTAATGTATGTGTCCCTTCACAGGTGAGCAACAAACTGAATTTACAAGAACTGTATGAATTCACTAACTAGAAACTTCAGTCACTGTGATAAAATGATCACTTGTCATTTAAGGGCAGAAAATGTAACTTGGAATATTGAACAGTACTTAGTGATTGGGCTAAAAGAAATATTTCTCAAAATGTTCAAGTTTGAATATGATAAAGTTTCATAAAACCTTAATACTTTGCAGGGAAATAAAAATACAAGCATCATTCTTTCAAATGTACCTCATAAGAACTTGGAAGTTTTAATTTTAAGCTGAGAAACTTTTTGATAGTTCCCACAGTCACTCGAGTGGAACAGCGGATAAATTTCTTCATTAAACCCTAAAGCAACAGCAACAAAACAGAAAAAACGGGTTAGAAGTTTTACTGCAAGAACAGCTGTAACTGATATTTTCTTCAACCAGTAACCAATTTTACTGCACTCTCCTCTAATTCATATTGGCACCAGAGGTTCATTTTTCTTTACTTTTTAGCAAAATGTACAAGATTACAAATTCATTTGACTCATCCAAAAAATACAGAAGGGAGGGAAAAAAACTCCAACAAACCACCCCACCAAAACCACCAAAAGGAAGAATTTAAATAATCTGTGTTAGTAACACTGGGGGTCAAACAGATGTGACATTTCTTAGAATTTCTTTAGTAGTCCCTGAGAGAAAAAGGAAGTAAAAACATCCTCAAATAATCTAGGTGAAATACAAGGAAGCTACAATTCTGAGAGAGCCTAGCAGTTTTGATTCAACAGGAGAGCTGGAAACCTGAGACTCCTACATGGCAATGGAGATACAGATTTCTTACTATTTAGCATAAACAGGGTGATAACATATATGTGTATTTTCTTGCTGAATCAAAACTTTCTTACTAAGAAATTTCAAAATTATACATGTAACATAGCGCACAGAAAATGTAAGTAGTGTTTTATTAGACAAATTTTAAATATCTTTTATAATTCTTGTCTTTGTAATTTAATAATATTATGCCAAAATCTAAGAGGATTTCTAAACACTTTCTTCTAGATTTGATACCATTAGGTATAATCTTCCCTTCATGAATAGAGACCAAATACCCCTAGTTCTTAAAACAGCGGTTAGCAGGTATTACTTTACACATTTTACGGATGGAAGTGACCTGTCCAAGGGCACAAAAGATCCAGATCCCAGTCATTCAGTGCACAACATATATGAAAAACAGCTTCATGCTGGCATGGGAAGAGAGCAGTCCTGAAAGTGTGGGGCAGCTCCCCTACAGCTAGCTTTTTAAGTACATCTGTGGTATGCTGTAATCAGTTGTGTAATGCAGTTATATACCATCAAGGCTGTAGACTACAAAACTATGCTTCATAAAAAGACAAAATAATCCATGGTCACCAATAGATTTCTGTATGGAATTGTATTTTTTGCAAAATTCTAAGATGCACTGAAATGCTTCAAACAAAAGAACTAAATAAGTGAGGAGGTAGAGACAGATCACCACATTAAGGTGTCTTATTAAAGGTTATAAAATTATTTGGTTCCTGCAAGATGCTATTCTGCAACAACAACAGCACAGATTATCTTTACCACTCACTTTGACAACATTATCTCCCGATTGCCCATTGTTTCGTAAACAGTCAAGGCAGATAGCAATCTGTGGGTCACTCCTGTGGTAGTCTTTATCTTCTTCATTTTCATCACACTCCTCGTCTACTTTGGGTTTATCAGCTTTTGGGCTTTCATCTGTAAAATATGAAGATCATATTATTTAAGTGTAAGACAATGAAAAGTCACAGTAGCAATAAACATATTTAAAGTGATACATCATTTTCAAGTGCGTATTTTTTTTTTCAAATTAACTTCATACAATTTTAATTCAGTGCATTCTTAAACCTACCAATTCACAGATCTCTGAAAACAGTTTTAGTATTGAAATCAATAGAATATGTGATAACAGATTTCTGTGTGTGACAGAAAATTATTAGGCTCATGGACCACTAATGGTTATGGCTGTCTACTTCTGTTTGTGTCCAGTGATTAAAATCCCACAACTGAGCATGCATCAAGATCATTCAACCTACTCTGTGGCGAAGCAGTTCACTGCCAAAAAATACTGCTTTTAAATACATAGTGGAATAACTAATCCCGACACTTCTATATCAAAATAACATGGCCAATAAATTCATATTTACTATTTTACTTTATTCATTATTGTCTGTCACAATAATCCATCAGAGACTGAAATGTTAAGTAAGCTAAAGAAGACAAAACTTAAATTTCATCCACTTTTGACCCCATCTAGGAAATGTCTTTGTAAGAACTCCAAGTGACCCTCTCCAGAAGGATTTTATAACTAAATAGCCATACACATACTTATCCCCCTTTATAAACAAAAATAAGAGGAATGGTCTCCATGTTTTTCAGCAGGGCACACGTAGCCTATATAATCACATATATATAACAACTGATGCTGTTACGTGCTCTATTGATTCCTGGTTTAGAAATCTAACTCTTTAGCAAAATACAATCTCCTACAGTTTTCAAAGGTTTAGCACAGTTAAACACTTGAATGCTGAGACTAGCTCGTACAGCCAGATAAGGCTGCAATGTATGTAAGTAATAACCATAAAATGAGCCATAAAACGGAGTAATTTTTACAGATTTGGAATACAGTATACAATAACCCTATTAAATACATTTGTGGTTTTCTGTATCCCCAACTTATTTATCTTGATTTAATACAGAGGCCGCTCTCTGTCGGAATAAAATATTATCACAAGTAACTTGAATAAGCTACTTTTGCATTTCCTGAAAACCTTCCAGATCAGATTCTGGTTTTTTTTTACATTTACCACAAACTTCTAAAGTTATTTAGTAGAGTTAGAATGAGAAGATAGAATTAAAACTTTAACAAGTACCAAGCCATGCCTAAGTTCCTAGACACAGTGATTAGTTCATTTTGTTCAGTTTACATATTCAAGATGAGATTTAAGCTATGGTTATTTCTTTCCTTGCATACAATTTTGGAGTATTTTATAGTTAGAAAAGATTGCCCACATGTCCCTACTAGCTATTGACAGAGTTAGTTGAATATGTATCATACATATATTTTGTTCCTATCATCTTGTTATGAATAGAATTTACAGTATTGAACTATAGATATATTCTTTTTTTTCTTTTTGTGAAAAAAGAAACTCTTTTAATCAAGCAGGCACAGTCTACCTGCCACAAGCATTTGTCTTGGGAGTCTGTCTATGATTCACAGATCCTTCGGCAATGCAAACACACCCACAACTTTAAACAGTTATCGCTGCTGAGTAACAGAGGAAGATTTAGTTACGCAGTTTAAAATGTCTTGAAAGGCAAAGCAACTACAGAAAGCTGTAGAGAAAGCAGAAAACTAGGGAAACTACCAAATACCCAACTACAAAATCATTCCAGACAAAGATTCCACAAAAAAGATCTCATTTTTCAAAGTATTCTAACAGAAATTCAAATGCTCCTCCACGTAAATGGCACCAGCCTATTTACTAAAAAAATCCCTGTAGATACTAGAATTAATGATGTTTGTACAGGCAGCCTCAGGGAATTAATGTGATGGTCTTTTAGAGGCATGTTATTAGAATTCAATATGATTTAAAAGAAAACAAAAACACAAAAAAAACCAACAAGAAAATGAGGTTTGGATCTCACCAAAATGGACTTGGTGATTTCCAAGTCAAAAACATCAAGCCAAGAACAGAAGGCAGAACAAAACAAACACCCACCCTCAGCCCCCCCCCCCCTCCCCCCTTTCTGTAAGGAGTAAAATGGTGTCTCATTTTTTAATCTCACCTTTCTTGCAAATCTTGGAAATTGTCTATTTCCTGTTCTTTTCCTTGAAATTTAATAGAAAACTGATTGCCAAAGAGTGACTCAATGTAAAGCTGTTTGCCTTCTTCCTTTTCCAGTTCAGACTGGAGCAGCCCAATAGAGATTTTTCTGCTCTGAATCACAGTATGTTTCCTGTCATCACCCATCAATTCTCTCTGGTAACCAATCTCCTAGTGGAGTCACCAATGCCTGAGATATGCTGTTGTCTGAGGGTTTTTTTCTTTTGAGATGTGAAAATTTTATGCCCTGCAATTTTTTTACAGATCCTGGATGCTAAGGTTGGGAACTGTGTCGTGACCTGCGGATTCTTTTGAATTGACTATATGACTGCAGGGCATGGTATTGATAACTGAAACAGTCCCGTCTTACTGAAATTATTCTCTCCAAATAATCTATTCTCAGGCAAGATTCTAAATGCTTTTTTTATGGCAGAAAATAGTTTAAATGCTCATAATTTGTCTCATGACTTTTGAATGGTTTGCAGAGTCAAATTTCCATAGCCCAAGGATACAGTCACTAACAGAGCTGGATACATCTGTAGCTACTTAAAAGTACATTTTGAGAGTTAGACCAGCCTTCTGATTCACCAAAGAATCCAGTCACACATTACACTTAGTAACTGATTGCCATTAGTTTTGCCATTGAGTTACGAGAGAAGGGTAAGGACAAGAAGAATAAAGAGGTCACATTCTACAGATCTGAAAATTATATATTTATATATAGACAGAGAGAGCAGAAATACTTTTCTGAACAGTCAAAAAATGTCTATATTTCATAAAAATATTTGTATTTTAAAAAAAGAATAGGTATACACTATATGGTATGTTGCAGTAAACTAAAAAAAATATCATATGAATTGTCCTGCAGTTCTTCATTTAATAACAGAGAAAAGAACCTTGTCCCTTATAATGGATGCCAAATGCAAATCAACAGAATTAGTGAGAAAGAAAATTAAAGTTATTAAGTTGAAAAGAAGATATTATAAACAATTGAATGCAGAAGAGTATTGCAAGACATTTACTTGACAGTGATCCTTTACTAAAAATATCTATAGCTTAGCAAAGACTTTCAAAAGTTCTTTAAAATGTCTGAACCAAACAGACTATGGTTTCAAAATCCTAATGTCAAATTAAACAGACATAAAACCAGTTGAGTGTAGTCCTCACTTAGCACCTCGATAATCAGCTCCAAAAGTGCATAGGTGAACTACCAAAAAAAAAAAAAAATAAAAAGGAAAAAGAAAAGAAGAGATTAGAAAAAAACCCAAACATTTTGGAATCTATATAAAACAATTGTTTAGCATGTGTGGAAAGCTGTTTTACTACTTGTCATAACTAATTCTTGACAACCTCCTACTTAACAGCTGGTCAAAGTCAGTAACAAAATAATCTGTAAAAAACTCAAGTAGTTCTGCATCTTGCTGTATTAAGAAAAGTAACAATTCAAATGTAAAATCTCATGAGTGTGGAAAGTGAGAGCTTAGGGAGATGCAATTAAAATTATGGTAGAACAGGTAATGTTTGTAAAACAAGTGGTTAATAGATAAGCAGCAGTACATGAAGGCCCAGCCTACATTTATGCAGATTTGTAACAAGTTTCTGTAGTATCTTTTGTAAAAACAATGTACATGTGTAACTGTTTAAAGAAAAAGGGCATAATCATCAATGTTACTTAACACACAGATGAGAGAGAAAAAAATAAAAAAAAAAATCATCACCTTGTCCATTTTCTTGAGGTTTATTTTTCTTCCAAAATTCAATCTCCCGCTGCAGTTCCTCTAGTTAACATCAAAGAACAGTCATGTGAATTTTTAAACCAATACTACAGGTATATCACTAGAATTGACCATATGCCCTCCATCAACCCAAACAGGTAGCCCAAAACCAAATGAAAAACTTACGTTCCCGAAGTCCAGGCACCAGCTTAAATATAATTTCCTCTAAGGTGTTATCGAGCCTTTCAAAGGGAAAAAATACATTTCACATTAAGTAGAAACCAGCATTTTATATATTTTCAGCCGTTAAATAACAGAAACTTCTGAATAATAAACTGCATATTTCTCATAAACAATGTATCCTCAAAAAATCAGCTGATTTTAGCTTGAGAGACAACATCTCAACCACCTATCTCAACCACCTCCTGAATGGATTTCTTTTAGAATTAACTAAGGAATTTATTTTTTAATGTATAAAGACAAAAAAAAACCCAACCCCCCCAAAAAACATTATACTCTAAAGTTTTCATTATTTTAATTTTTGTTACATGCAAACAATTGTGTTACTAAAAGGAACAAACTTGAAAAAAAGTATGTAATTTTAAGGTCCAGATCATGAGTAATAAGCATGAAAACTGTAAACTCCAAGATCATATTAAGTGTTCAAGTGCTTTGGTAATAAGGCTGTTATGAAAAACTGAACAGACTATTGACTACTCATTACAACACAGACAAACCAGTCTTGGCAGGAGAAAGAAGACCACAGAGCATCCATGCTGCTCTGGCTAGACAGCTCTCAGTGCCCAACATAATTCATTTAAACTATTTAAATCTGCCATGAACTTGTCTACCAGATGACAGTACGCAGCACAGGCATGTCGTCTGTTACCCTGATATTAGTGCCAGAAACAGCTATTACAGTCCCTTCCAGAGGACATGGTGCATTTTCCTTTGTTGCTGAGGCTAAAATATTTTGCTTCCTTTTTCTCTGAATTTTACCTACTCTCCTATCCTTTTAATTTATCATCCGCTTTCTAGTTCCACTTCCTTTCCTTGTGTCACTTATCATCTGGTTTCCTCTGTCTTACTCTTTTTCATTTCTCTCCTCTGCCCTCTTCATCTTCTCTTGTGAACAGTAACTCCCACTGTCCATAGCCTAAACAAAAAACCAGGACAAAACCAAGTACTAAGCAATATGGCCAGAGAAATTAAGTTATTTTGATACACAGTCAGAAGCTACAATACAATAATTGACTTTGTTATATTTTTGATTCCCTTAATTTTTAATCTCAGCAATGAGATATCTATGCACACGCTTGCACATATACAGATATGTATGTGTACATGTTATTAATAATACACTATTTGCCTGTTAAAAAACATATGACTGTTCTCTAGCTTTTGTTCACTGGTAGTGGCAAAATAGGAAGACTGAATGATTTTATTGTTGAGGAATGCCTAAAAGCCATTTTAGTAGACAAGAGTTCTCTTCTTATACCAAATATACAAGCAGTACAGGTTCTCCTTCTTTACAGAATTTGCTTTTGTAATTGAAAGTTTACAACCAGACCTATTACCCAGTTACCTTGTTCTGAGAGTAGTTTCCTGTGTTATCTGTTAGTTCATGAAGACAGTCATACCATAAGAATATTAATGTTTAAGCTACAAACACAATGCATTTCTAATTGCTTCTTCTTAAAAGTACCCCCAAAAATAAAAATTAAAAAAAAAAAAAAATCTTTGGCAAGTGAAACAGGCCTCCCCTAAAACAAAGAAGCATAGAGAGTAATTTCTCACAGGTAAGAAGGGTACCAAAACCATGGGATGTCTGTGCACTCAGTTTCTGATAGAGAACAATATAGGTCTAGCTTTCCAAACGGTATGTTACCTCTTCTAGCACCTCTAATCAATATCATAGAATCATAGAATAGTTAGGGTTGGAAAGAACCTTAAGATCATTTAGTTCCACCCCCTTGCCATAGGCAGGGACACCTCACACTAAACCATCTCACCCAAGGCTCTGTCCAACCTGGCCTTGAACACCACCAGGGATGGAGCATTCACAGCTTCCAGTGCCTCACCACCCTTACAGTAAAGAACTTCTTCCTTATATCCAATCTAAACTTCCCCCGTTTAAGTTTTAACCCATTACCCCTTGTCCTATCACTACAGTCCCTAGTGAAGAGTCCCTCTCCAGCATCTAATGCAACTAGAGGGTACTGCTTTCTATGAAGTTCCTGCAGTAGAGCACTGGGAACCTGTCTTGGAAATGGGATTAATTCACACTGTAAGAAAGCTCTACTCTTCATAACTTACTCATTAAGAGAAAAGAAATAAGAAGAGAACAACACTAATTTAATTAAAAATCCCACTAACTATTCCTCAAGATGGCATAATACATGCTGGGTTTTCTACATTTATTTTTAAAATTCCCTTTTAGCACTTTCTAATTTGTCTTCAATGCCCCAAACCAAAAGTCTCTAGTAATGCTAACATAGCAAGAAAACCACTATACTTAACAAATCAACAATGCTAGCAGCAAGAACTGGCTTGATGTGCTATAGTCAATAACTTCATTTTCTTTCAAAACTAAACAAAAAGAGCTATTTATCCTTATGCAACAATACTACTAATCAATACTTTAAAAACTTAGGAAAAAACCCCACTTATCTGATTTTTAAGTACAGGAAAACTCAAAGGATAGGGGAAAATAATAGGAAATTATAAAATGACTCTTAATTTTAGATGCATCTTACAGTGTTCCTATTATCCACTCCTATCAGGACTCTAAACAAAAGATTCGTATTTCTGTGACTTGCATCAAATCCACTCCAAAATGAAACTACTTGACATAACTCCAAACACAGTCTCAGTCATTTAGTATGATACTTCCTGTTAACGCCGAAACAGGACCATTAACATTTTAGACATGCTTCTTTGCATGCTCACATCTTCCAACCTCCAAACTTCTCTTATTCACCCCTTCTATAATACTGAGTTATAAGATCAAAGCCATTCCCTGATAAATGTTAATTATCTGAAGTGAGGCAAATGAAGACTATCACTCAAGAAAACTTGCTTTCCAAGAAGCATGCTACCAAGAAAAAAAAACAGCCTGCATTCATGACAGACCACTGCAGACCCTAGTGAATACTAACGATTCAGAATTCTGCTAAATCAGGAAGGGGAATTCTACAATTTAGCACTCTTCCTAGATTTTTATTTTGGAGCTCAATGTCGGATTTCAGACTTTGGCTTATTGTTTCAACATTCCTAATTGCTGCCAATGGAAAGATACATCTAAAAACCTCACATAGTTATGAAGTTATTCAGAACTGAGTTTATAAAGTGGTTTATATAGTTTATCTGAAAGATTTCAGTTAAAAATACTATCTAGAGTGTTCAACACCATTTCTCAGAAAATGACTGCATTCTTGAGCAATGATGGGGCTGGCCTCTACAGTCAGAGTGTAAGACGTATTAAGTTAGGCAGGCAACATCCAAAAAAGATAATTCCATTACACTGTTCATGTGCTTTTCTGATTATTAGTTTAGCAAATGTTGAAAACTGTTTCATAAAATACAACCAAACTCCTTGCTATATGCAGTTTGTTGGCAAATAAACACGGTGACTCTAAAAGGAGTTTCAGGAAATAATTGCAGAGAAAATAGCTCTTCCCACATTTCTGGCTTGTGGTCTCAACTTTTCTCACCCTTCCATCATTTCCTGCTTAGAGCATATTATTAATTTAGTAAACATCTACTAGAGGCTTCAGAAAATGCATTTTTTTAGATCCTATGAAATGGTCCTATCAGAATAAAAGAAATATTTCTAAAATGCTTTTATTTTCAGCCTTATGCACTCTACATAGAATCTTCTATTACAACTGACCCAGCAGCTCAGACACTGACAGATCAGAATAGTACTTAAGGTAAACATCTACATAAACCCTTTTAGCCCTACCCTTCTAAAAAACATTCAGATGGTAAAGACTTAAGCTAATAACACCCTTTAAAGCTGTTGTGTTTAATCTCTCTCACCTACCCTCTCGGTACATAACTGAAGTATGGGAATTGCCATGCACACATGTATCAGTCAAAAAGCAAGATATGATAAATTGTAACAAACACAATATGTAAATATTTATTGCAACACTGATGTAAGGATATTTCTTCCTAAGTTCCCAACAGTATTACAAACTAATAAAATCGGGGGAGGGGGAGGGACTGTTGGGAGTGAGGGCAGGGAGAGGCTTCATCATTGTAGGAAAATATCTAGTTCTTCCACTTATGATGACATTTCTCAGTTTCTCTGTACTATACTTGTAGCAAGTACAGTTTCAATATAACATGGCAAAGTTTGTTTCAATATAAAAAAGTACAGTTTGTTTCAATATAACATGGTGAAAAGAGAATCTAGAATTTCAAGAAAAATAATTGTTTAAAAAAGCAATGTGTTATTGTGACATAAAAAATGCAAACTCTCAAGAAAAGGTACTTTTGGTGTCAGAATTTTCTTTCATGAGTGTCTTTTCATGAATCTGACAGCAGATTTCAATTCAGATTGGTAGGTCTACACACTGGAAAGTATTCAGTTATTTGCATGATTCATTTTCTATATTGCTCTATGAATTAAAAAAAAGCTGCACAGTTTGGAATGCCCTAAATTGTTTGAAAAAAGAAATTCTAGAACTTAATTTCATGTAAAGAATAAAAGGCATCTGGTTTATTAGTTTGAGGCATTAAATAATTAAATAATAAAATTAAACTTGCACAATACACCCAGTCTTTCTGCATTACTCCATTATCTTTCCTCCTTTTATTATATCTGAAAAGTTAATTTACCTTTTACCAGGAGATAAGAAATTGGTAGTATCTATGGCCAAAAACAGTTGATGTATGTATTATACAAAGAAGCAAAAAAAAATTTATTTCCTTTCAGGATAAAAATATTATTTTTTATTTTTTGTTCTTCCATTTCAGCAAAGGCTGTGCAATGTCATCTTACCTTAACATTTCTAGTGGATTAGTCTCATGCACTTGGTTGCCACACCTGGGGCAGTCATTGCTGTCTTCAAAGTGTTGAACGATGCAAGTCTTACAAACTGAGGAACAGAAGAGAAAAAAAGGCAAAACCAACTTAGTGTAAGATCTGAATAACATCGCTTGAGCATGACCTAATGATACCAGCTAACTACTTCATGCATCAGAGTATTATTTTAAAGCAAATAAGGAATGCATTCTATCCACTTCTTCCTCAAAGTTGTAGCTAGTTCTGCTCTGCCAACACACCGAGTTCAGCAGCACAGGTTAAACAAGTGCTGCTTCAAAGTATGCAAGATTTTTACTACTTAAAATTCTCCCAGCACCATAAAATGCAAACCCCATACCATACAGCACATCTAAAGAGCAGGTTCTGAGAAAGTGCATGCTGGGTTGCTCTAGCCCAGCAAAGCCAACCATCACTTCAGATGATTTGAGAATGACTTAGGCACATTGTTTTCTTTCCAGCAGTGTTGCTGGCAGCTAAAAATACTGTTGTAAATACTCACTGTAAGATAAAGGTTCACGGAAATTGTACACAGGTTCAAAGCAGCTATGTTTCCCTTTTGACACAGCGCCTTCAAAAGCTCTGACAGAACTTACAGGGAACATTTAATAATTGAATCTTGCAATGAAAAATCAGGATCATAACCATGGCAGGTATAAACAAACCCAAAACAACAACAGTGTGAATTTAAAATCCGATAAACTGAAATTAAACCAAACAAGGTGCTACACTTCTGTTGTTTCTAAATGATTAACTGCAGACTGATGACTTTAATGCCATTAATAAGAAAATAGAAGCCAAGCCCAGGACAACAAATATGCCTGCTATTATTACTGCATTACAACATTCTGCATGGAGATAAACTCCATCCTCTGTTTATTATTACTTCACCTAAACTGAGAACTGCAAATTCATCAGTAAATAGACTGAAAAAATAAATGGACTGCTGCAATTACAATATGCTTTCTGCTGAAACACTGTAATTTCTTTCATCAATTACCTAATGAACTAAGAGTACCTCTAAACATGCTGGTAAATCCTAATTATATGAAAATCTTTACGGAATCTTGACATTCCTTTAACAAATGTCACCTAACAAGCAAAGCCTGCATTTATCTTTTCTCAGAAGCGTTAGTGCAACTCAGCTGACACTGATAATACACATACATTAAACCTCTGTGCAGATTTTTTTTCCAACTCCTTTAAAACATGAACTTAAGGATGTTAACTTCATAGGTTTGGCTGAAATTACATGAACTTTTCCCTTTAAGTTAGACAGACAGATTTCAGAGCTCTCTGGCTGGCTCTTGGCACCTTCCCCAACCTAAATGGCTCTAGTAGAGCTAGATGCAGGGCAGATTTCCGATGATCTGGTAAAACAAGCTCAGGAAGCTCCTGAGTCCTGCCAAACAATCCCAGTAAGTGGGCGCATTGCAGTCCTCTGCACATAGGGCCCTCCAGAACAGCCGAGGATGGTGATGCTGTGAGAGTGCCATTTAACCCTCATTTTTTTCTTGACCTAAAGTTGTGAGGTATTTAGCACTGTCACACAAACGCAAGAACCTGTAATTACAGAACTCATATCACAGATCTTTTATAATTTGTTAAAATACTAGACTTAATTGATTTTTGCACATGCATTCCCTAACACTTCCACAGGGTAAGAAGCAAATGTGATGTTCCGTATCTACATGGTTTCTTCCTTTTTCCATATACTTTCTATAACTAATACTAAAACTGAACATTTTCCTACTACACTTACAGAACATAAAGAACTTCATCACCCATAGAGAAGCCCTCGTGCCAGGCCAAAGAAGCACTTCAGAACATGCTTAAATTAAAGCACAAGTCCAAATAACTTAAAAAAAAATAAATGTAGTAAAGATTTCTATAATCTCTCCTCACTAATATGATCATGAATTTCCTCTATAACTGAAAATAATTTAAGTTATCCTTGAAATTGAAAATATATGAAGATTCTCAGATCACAGTTTTCCTGAAGATGTAGCATTTGCACGTTTAACCCAGGGGCAAACATCACAAGGTGGAATTATTTAGCTGATCAGTAGCTCCTCAGCCATTCCAGCTCCCATAAGTATTTGAACTATCTTTCCTTCTTTCACCTACTTGAAATACAAAGAAGCACAGGGAGCAACTGAAGGCATAGTTCAGTTCTGTGAGTAATCAAACACTAGCCACACACATGCAGTGATAAAGCCTACCATATCCTGGGCTGCATCAAAAGGAGCATGATCAGCAGGTCGAACAAAGGAGGTGATCCTGCCCCTCTACTCTGCTCTCATGAGACCTCACTTGGAGTATTGTGTACAGTTCTGGGGTCCTCAACATAAAAATGACGTGGAACTGTTGGAACAAGTCCAGAGAAGGGCCACGAGGATGATCAGGGGACTGGAGCACCTCCCATATGAAGACAGGCTGAGAAAGTTGGGGCTGTTCAGCCTGGAGAAGAGAAGGCTGCGTGGAGACCTCATAGCAGCCTTCCAGTATCTGAAGGGGGCCTATAGGGGTGCTGGGGAGAGACTCTTCATTAGGGACTGTAGTGATAGGACAAGAGGTAACAGGTTAAAACTTAAACAGGGGGAGTTTAGATTGGATATAAGGAAGTTCTTTACTGTGAGGGTGGTGAGGCACTGGAATGGGTTGCTCAAGGAACTTGTGAATGCTCCATCCGTGGCGGTGTTCAAGGCCAGGCTGGACGGAGCCTTGGGTGACATGGTTTAGTGTGAGGTGTCCCTGCCCATGGCAGGGGGATTGGAACTTGAATGACCTTAAGGTCCTTTCCAACCCTAACTATTCTATGATTCTATGAAAAAGCCCTCTCACCTGTATTTAGATGGGTGCATGCTTGGCTAGGAAGTCTCACAAGTGTGTCTCAGAGTCATAGATGAAGAAGCAGCATCACTTCCCCAAAGTTACACTTTTTGAACAGGTATTTTTATAAGACATAATGATATGTAAAAACATGTACTAAGGAACAAATAGAAACTCTACAGGTGTCCAGACCTGAGTTACTTGCAAAGAGTCACCAACACCGTTCAAGTGCTCAGACAGAATTTGATTAACTGGTCAAACAACATATTGTAATATTCTCCAAAAGTGCCCTTGCTTATCTTCAAACTCTAATTATGGCACCTTTCCTTTTTTGATACTACCAGTAGTCCTGAAGATTGTCCAAAAAAAAAACAAACCAAAAACAAGCCTCCATCTAAATCAAGAGCATGCCATATCACTGAATTCAACAAAACCCAACAGGCAATAACACCAATTAATATGAAATTAAGATACAGGGCTCATCAGAAAGCTATGATGAAGTGAACTTTTCTTTTCAAAATAGGCCATCACAGTATCATGTCATTAATTTATCTTGCTTTTCTTGAGAAGTGAAAAGTGAGCCAAAGTGAGTAAAAGGTCTTACTCTAAACATGACAGAGAGATCAAAATAGCAGACAATGTGACCAAACCCAGGCTCTTTAAATACTGCTATGAATGGGAGTAGTTAACATTGTTGAAAATGGGAGTAGTTAAAAATTGTACCTTTCCCATTCATTAACAGAGATGTCTTCTTTCTACTTATTAAAAGAAAAAGCAAAAAACAAAGACAAAACAACAAGCCCAGGACATTTTTAAGGCATGATTCTTCTACAGTATTGAAGTAGAGAAAATTAAAGCAATTAAATGTAAAGATACTAGATCTGCGTGAAGTAAACCAAAGAACTAAATAGGATTAACCTATTCAATCCGACGTCAGATACAGCAAAAGTCTGAGAGTCCTAGAATAAGCACTTCCTGGATGACTTCAGTGAGAATGTAAATAACTATATTCTGCTCAAGCTTCTCAAGGAATCTGTAAAATATGCTACTGACACTTGAGCTCTTCAACTGTAGCATTTGATATCTCATAATCCTGGTATCTATATAGTGCTGAAGGGGGAGACGATACACTACTTCTGTCAGGAGAAAGAGTGCAGATTAGTGATGGGTGATTACAATACTGACGAGAACCACAAGGTTAAGAATCATCTGCTATCTCAGAAATACCATTAGTTGGAGAATCTCAGTTTAAAGACCATAAGGGAAAAGGTCTGGGAAGCTAGTATGATGATGAAATTGTGAAGTCTAATACAGTTGTGAATAATGGCCACATGGAAATTCATCTGAAAGTCACTGAGGTTAGTAACAAAAGGATTTGGTATACTCTACACCTTTTCTGACTTGACTTCATAGAAACTGTGCTTAGGGATAACTCTTTTTCAATGGAGAGCTGCAAGGCAGATAAAGTCCCTCTTCTGCTAACTCCTATAATAAAGGAAGGGGTTGGTCTTTAATTTTTTTTTCTGTTGTAAACATCTTGTCTGGTATAAACAGCAGCATCTTTATTAGGTCAGTCTTTCTAATCTGACACCAATTTTAATAGAATTATAAAAATAAAAGAAATGGAAAAATGGCATAAATGCAATTGGCATTGGTCAATATTAATTTGGGAACTGATAGGCCTAACTACTGATCTTAGTTGGGAAATTTTTAGCAATGGAGACTCTGAGATGATTCACACAAAATTTTTTCAAAAGGATTACCAGAGAGGTTTCTTTCTGTAAGCAATCAATACTAGCCCCCTTCCAAAAGGACCTCCCTGTGTTTTAAGGAAGCTATGCCTAAAATTCTTTGAAGAGAATTTAATTCCCGTTACTTGCTCTTGGGATCTCTGTTCCATACACATAAGAGAAGTTCTCGTAGACTGTGACAATGAGATGACACTGATCTGACGGCTTTGAAAAGGACTGAGCTGAATGGTAAGGTATTTTAAATTTGGCTTTGCTAGGCTTTTTGTTTTTCAAAGTAAAGACAAATAGGATCTACCTGAACTATGGCTTTAATTTACTGTATGAAATTTGTTACTATTCAGAAGAACTCTGTGCCACAGGACAGATAACTGACACACTTATTTGAAGTCAGAGGACTGACTCCCCAAAACCTCCCAAATACTAAATGCTGCCAAACATAAAGCCTGCTAAAATCCACGGTAATGTTACTTGA